TATCCTTTTTAATTTTTTTTTTTTTTTTTTCTCCTCACTTCAGGGATAATAAGAAGGAGTCCGGTTTAGGTGGCCCCAGGGCCATTAAGTCCTTGATGGTATTTGGAGCGAAGCATCTGCTGGGGGAGAGGTGAGGAAGGAGGGAAGGGACAGTGACTGGGGAGGCCACCACATTGCCTGTGGCCCCAGCTGAGCTGCCTTAAGCTACCAATTTTTGCTAGACCAGGAAAAATAAATCAACAAGCCAGCTCAGCATTTTCTGGGCTTGCCCTTACCTTCATCAGTCCTTGTAGTCTCTTAAATTTGTTAATGTCTTGATGGGCCTAAAGTAATACTCAAAGGAAGGTCCATGCGTTCCTGCCATTTATTTCTTGCCAGGGTCCCATCACCTCCTATTTGAGACAAGAATTGCCCATCCTCACCGTGAGCCTGCCCGCAAATTCAGTCATATAGCTCTCTGCAGAGCGCTGGAAGTAAGCACACAGTAATGTCCCAATCGTGAGCAGGATTTAAAGCCTTTCTGCTGTTTTTTAGTATCGCCAGTGTTTTCTGCGGGTTTTAGGTTTCTACTCAAATGAACCCTGTTATGGTTCTGCTCCTTCTGTCCCTGAGCAAAGCCTGGCAGGAGGAGCTAGTGGGGAGCGTGGCCAAGGGCTGCCCAGAGCTCAGCAACTGTGGTTCATGCAAAAAAAAAAAAAAAAAAACAAAACAAAAAAACAAAAAACTAAACAGCACCGTGACAGCACACGAGGTGCTCCTTGAGGGAGTGTGTACTCGTAAGGTCTGATTCTGCAAAGCTCGCTCGGGCCTGTGAATTGGTGCTGTTCCCCCCTAGTTAAGGGGTGGTGAAGGTCTCCTCCCGCACCTGAGCTGGAAGAGATCACTGCTGGGCTGCTCCTGGGCCTGATTAGGGGAAGGGATATTAATGAGGGGTGGAGGGAGGTGAAGGATGGCAGCTCTGAGTTGGGGATGGGTGATGGTGGCACTCCTGTGCTGGGTAAAAGGGTTTTTCTGGGAAGGTTTTGTAAAGGGGAGCCTGGAGATGCTGGGGGGATGGTCCTGGGGAGGTGGTTGGCCTCCTTGCCCCCAGGCAAGGCAGAGAGATGCCGGGGTGCTGACGCTGAGGATGTCTCTGGAAGGATGGGTGGTGAAACAGCTGCTGTGTCCATATAGCTATAGGTTTCTTCTCTCACGGGCATGCCACAGACTGGTGACGGGACCATCACTGCTCAGGGCTCTGCGATAGCACCCCCGACAATCAAACACCAAAATCCAGTTTCAAAAGGCAGTAGGTGAGAAAAGGGCAGAGCTATAGATGGTCCTGGAGAGAGGACTGAACCATGCTGTCTTAGCACGATGCTGTTGGCCAGCTGACGACGGGTGGCCCCAGTCTAGATTTCATTCTAGCCCATAAAAAAAAAAAAAAAAAAAAAAAAAAATTCCTCATATCTTTAGGAAAAGTAAAAGTGGTCCCACATTCTCTACGGGTCATTTAATAGTTCATGGTTTACCGGTTTTCTTGCAGCATGGTCATCTCTACAGAAGCAGCCAAGGAGGTCTGGAGCACTTGTTAATCAGCAGGTAAGTACACGAGGTGTTTCTGATCAGTCACAGATTCAGGCCCCACTCCAGTGCTGGGTGATTTTTGGCCCCTAATCAGCTTCAGCTGAAGAAAATGGCAATAATATTGTTGGGAGGGAGGGGAAACTAATTACTTCATGCAGTGCACCTTTGGCTAGCTAAGGAGGCTGTTGGCAGGTGCTGATTTAGCAGAAGGAAGAATAAGCCCTGTCTGGTGGGCTATTTGTTAAAGATTTAAGGGCTGATACATCGTAAAAGCTGGGTTTTAGGGGAAAAAGTGCTGAGGGTAGCAAGGTGTTATTCTTATCCCTGGGAGATGCACATAGAGGTGTGTCAGCATTGTTGCCCCTGAATTTTGTGGTTGTTGTGATTTATTTTTTCAAATGCATCTGAAAGCTTTCTTCAAGCCCAGCTTATGAAGCTGCATGATTTCCTCAGCCCTGCACCTTTCTTTTTTGGAAAAGTGAGCTTTTTTTTTTCCTCTTTTTTTTTTTTTTTAGCTGCTTTCTGCCAACAGAACAACGGGAGACCTCACGATTTAATGCTCTGAGGACTAAAAGAAAACTCAATCAGGAGAAGAGCCCTTGTTTTCACAGCCAGCCCCCCCAGCCCCATGGCTCTGACCACCCAAGACGGGCAGTGCTGCGTGTGCCGGGGCTGCCCACGGGTGTTTGTGGGGCGGGGAGGGGGCTGGATGTGACCCCCATGTGTGGTACCAGCAGGGCTGATCTTTTCCTCAGCAGAGGAGCCCAGCCTCGAACGCCGCCGTGCCACGACGCTGGTTGCTCCGTCCAACGTCGGGGGATGACCCGTCTCCTCCTCCTCCTCGGAGCAGAAAGGCAAATCGTGGTCCTCACCCGGCACGGTGAGGCTCTGGAAGCGGGAGCTGCCGGCGACGTGGCCAAAAACCACAGGGGCTCAGGGTTACAGCACGCACTGAAGCAGTGCTGGGGCAGCTTTGCAGATCAGGGCTGGAGGGTACCAGGATGACTGCTGCCAGGTATTTGCCCGTCATGCCCACCACAGCACCTTCCCGTGCCACCGAGAGCCCCCCCCAATCTCTTGTCTTCCCCCGTAGCTCAGTGAACACCCTTGAAATCTCACCCTTCCTGGGGAAAAAGTGTTATTCTTCACCTCTCTGAGGCTACGAGGGCAGCCACAGTTTTGCTTATCAGTTTTTTTTCCTGGCAGATCACATCCTGTTCTCAGGTATATCGATGAATCTCTGCAGGAAAAAAAATAAAACGCCAGGATGCCCGAGCTCGGTGGCACAGAGGCATCCCAGCTCTACCCTAAGCCAGGTAGGGATGGATATGAATGTTTGGAGAAGCACTGGAGCAACTGAGGTGAATTTTTGGCCCTCAGGTTAGCTCCCCATGAATGGGTCGATGGCGGAAAAAAATCAAGGGGCTTTTTGCTGCCTGTGCCCAAAACCAAAGAGAGAATTTGCAATTCTCTCCATCACCGAAACAATCGGAAAACTAGGTGGAAAACTCTGAGCTTGTGCTGCTCCATGGAGTGATTGATATGATGATCCCAATTACACTTAATTGTGGTTATCCTATTAATAACACCCTCTTTCTGTAGCACACACCTGCCTCTCCATGGGAAACACTACTAATATAACTTAAAACACCAATTACATGCAATGGAAAAGCAGCAATTAAATCCACTAAGCCTTGCCGAAATAATGATTTGATTTCCCTCCAATATTTTTAATGTTATAAAGGCTGTTTCTTAAAACAAAAGCAATTCTTTTATTTGTGTGGTCTCCTTTTTATCCGTGCAGGAACACCTCCAGACCGGGCGCTGATGGAAAGCACCACTGGGCTCTACAAAGAGCTGCCTCGTCGTTCTAAGCTTTATGGCAGCGCTGCTTGGAAGTTAATTTTCTCCAGGGATGTTTTTCTGGGATGGAAATGGGAAGCTGAGCTTCTCCTTGTGTCGCATCGGGGTTGGGGAATGGGCTGGGAGAGTTGTAGTTCTGTTTTACCAGGTGCTGGTGGGTTGGCAAACGAGCAGTTTGAAACACCTGGGCAAACCCAAACGATCTGGTGGTGCCCAGGTGGGATTGGGGTTGTGTAAAAAGCCTTTCTCCGTGCGGGAGGAGGAGGAAGGGGGAGAAAGAAGTGGCCTTCCTCCCAGAGAGGGAGACAGAAGAAGCTGGAAAGATCTTAACAGTGAACTCAGCCCGCGATGGTAACCCCGCTCAGGAATAAGGAGCCCGGATAAATTTGAGGTAGTTTTTGAAATCTCATCATCCAGGCAGTGCAGGGGCAGGGGAGAAGCTGGGGTGGAGCTTGGTGGTCTGGCGTGGCCCTGCGGCAAAGGGTCTTTCTGCCATTGGCACCTGCAAAATTGGGGGGGTTGGCCCCCGGGGGGCTCCTGGAGCCTCCCCCGGGGTGGCCAGGATCGTGCCCAGTCCCCCTGCTCCTCAGTGCCAAGTTCCCGTGCCTCAGTTTCCCTGTGGGCGGGGGGGAGCTGCTGCGTGGCGGGACGGGGCGGCTGCGCTTCCTCCGATTGTTCATACCGCGGGAGGGGGGGTGGGGGGTGGTGAGAAACAAAACCCCCGTGGGGCGCGGCGAGCGGGGTCAGCATCTCCCCCCCTCACCACCCCCCCCAAAAAAAAAAAAAAAAAACAAAACAACCCAAAACAAAAAAAAACCCCAAAACCCCAAACATCTTCAACTCCCCCCTCCTCTCTGAGTTTTCCCTCTGGGCATCAACCACCCGGACGCAGCCCCCGGGGCGCTGCCGGCGGGCGCGGAGCCTCCCCAGCGCTTCCTCCGCGCCCGCGGAGCGCAGCGCGGGGCGGCGCCGCGCAGGCGGGGGTGAGGGGGGGGGGGGGAAAGGGGGACCGGCTCCTCGCCGCACCGGCTGCAGAAAGTTTCTCTCCGGGCTCCCGCTGGCATCCAGGCCTGGGATTTAAAAAAAAAAAAAAAATTATTTTTGTGATTTTTTTTTTTTTTTTTTTTTTTTTGGGGGGGGGGGGCAGCGGCCAGCACCGGGCGGGCCCCGCCGGGACGGGGCTGCGGGGGATGCGCGGCGGCGGAGCAGCGCGGCCCGGGCCGGGCCTCGGCGGGCACCCCCCGCGCCCCGCTGCCCGCGGGCGGCCGCCGGCCCCGGGGGCGGCCCTGGCCCGGCCCGGCGCGGCTCTCGCCGCCGCTCGCTGAGCGCTCGGCCGGGCCGGGGGGTCCCGGGGGAGTCCCGGGGGGTCCCGGGCCGGCGGGCAGCGCTCCCCGGGCCGGCGGCGGGAGGCAGGAGGCAGATCCCGGTGGACGGGGCCGTGCGGGGCACGGGCACCCTCTTTTCCAGTTTCTTGTAGTTTTTAAATTTCATTTTTCCCGGAGGAGCTCGCACCATTAGTCGCTCTTTTTTTTTTTTTTTTTTTTTTAAATTTTACTTTTTTTGTGTTTTTTTTTTTTTTTTTTAATTAACATTTCAACTTCAAGACGCCAACGGAGAGTTGCGGTTATTTCCCGGGACCGTCTTAGCGTGCGGCGCCGAGGCCATGCGGTGAGGTAAGAGCGGCACTGGGACCGGGACCGAGACTGGCACTGGGATTGGGACCGGGACCGAGACTGGCACTGGGATTGGGACCGGGACAGGGACCGGGACCAGCAGTGGCATTGGGACCGGGACCGAGACTGGCACTGGGATTGGGACCGGGACCAGGAGCGGCACTGGGACCGGCGGAGTGGCTCCGGTCCCGGACCCCTCGGGGCAGAGGGTCGCATCAGTTTTCTTTGTATTCTGACCAGATAAATACGTGTCACCCCCTGCGCAGGTACCTGCAGAACAGACCTCCCACCCCCCCCCCCCCCCGCCCCGACCCCCCAGTATGAGCAGGAAGCCGGGAAGTTCAGATCAGTTTTGGAAAAAAAAACCTCCGTATAATGTAAAATGGAAACATTTGTTGCTGGGTTTGTTTTTGTTTGAGCTGCTGAGGAAGTACCAACTTGAAGTTGAGCTGGGCCCAATTCTGATCACAGCCTGGTTTTATTTTTCCACCGTATGTGTCAGATTTCAGGAGTTTATGCCGGGTTTACACTCTTGTGAACTACCTAAGAACTGGGTCATTACTCACCCAGGCTGATTCAAAGTATGCTTGAGTCCAGGAGAGTATTTCTGTTGGCTGTAGTGAATGTTTTTTGGTTGGGAGGGTTCAGTCCTTGCTGGTTTTGGTAGTCTTAGGGAAGCTGATGGGGCAACCTCAGTGAGAAAGCCTTACTCATGTGTTTACAGAGCCTGGCTGGAGGGTTCCTGTTAGATGCCATGTTCAGATCTCCACCTCTGTGGTTTTGTTTTACACCTTAACATTTATTAGATGAGCTATTTCAAAATACAGGGATTAATAGCTGATATAACCTCCCTGCTCCTCCCTCGTGTTTTATTATCAGACGAGGCACGACACTTTTCCCCCAAGCGACGCCAGCTCCCGGCAAAGCCAGCCCCAGCTCCATTTTCCAATCGGGCCGGGCTGCGGTGCAGAAGTCGCGTTGCACGGGGCTTAGCGGCCGTGTTGGTTACAGGTTATTAAAACCTCAGCCTGTGATGCAGCGAGCTGGATCGAAACGCGCTGCAACTGCTTAAATCAAATATTTATGGAATGCTGCTCCCTCCCTCCCCGGTATCTTCACTGATTGGCCTTGGGGAAAAGTGCTGAATTTATGTCTATTATAAAGTAAGTTAGCTTGTCCTGGTCCAGGTGGATGTGTTGCTGGAGATGCTGTGAGGGGTGTTTGGGCTGCTCGTGTTCATGGGTGCTGGCAGGGTGGCTCACGCCAGCGGCACTCGGTCCTTGATTGAACGAGTGACCAAGACAGGGACTAGCAGTGACAAATTTCTGCTGTGCCATCTCATTACCCCCGCCCCGCGGTGTGAATGCCGTACACACCCTCGTGCACAGCTGGAATGAATTAATTTGATTTCTACGCATTCCTGTAAGGAGAACCGACGGGGTGGTTGCGTCGGGGCGGGCGAGGGGTGCGCCGTGCTGCCCGGCATCCGCGTTACCCAAGGAGGTTACGCGACGAGAGCCGCTCGGAGCAAAACCTCGTGTCCTCCGGTGTCACCAGTGGCTGAGGTGCCCGTTGCGGTGGGGACACTGGGCAGGAGGGGTGGCTGCGCGGCCTGGGGATCTGCTCCGTCGCGGTGAGCTCGCTGTTGTGCAAAATCAGACCCATCCCAGGGCTTGGGAACTCAGCCCGTGGCTCAAACTGGAGCTCGGGGCTGCGGCCATCGCGCAGGAGGAGCCGGGGGAGAAGCTGCTCGTGGGAGGAGGAAGACACCGGTGCGTGGCGAGCAAGGGAAGGGAACGGGCATCGTCTCCTTCGGGGCGGCCTCCTGAGGAGTTCAACTGGAAGCACTGGGGAAAGGTCTGCCTAGAGATGATGAGTCTGGAAACAGCAGTTCCTGGTCCTGGGTGCTACAAGTCACAGGTGCAATAGGTTGATTTTCTGGCCCTTTGCTCCGTTTTTGGTCCGTCCCATACCTATTGCAAATGTTGTTTCTTTCCATCCCAATTCCCCGAGCACAGGAGTCTCCTGCCCTCTCCCGCCGCCGTTACCTCTCATTTTCCTGAGCGCTCATTACTCTCAATCATCCTGTTCAGAGTTTGTTTTTTTTTTTTTTTTTTTTTTTTTTATTACTCTTTTCAGCTTGCAATCTCCTGTGAAACTTCCAGGGGAAGCCTGAGAATGGGTTTGCTTTTGGACTTCTTTTACTCAGACCTCTCAGAAATAGTCTCAGGAATCCCGAGGATCTGAGGTCGGGAGCTGAAAACCACCCAGCTAATTACTGCAGCCTGGTTATGCTTGGAGCAGTTATTCCTAACTGTGTTTACCCGGCTGCTTGTTTCCATCTTGTGATCTCAAAGACTTCCCCAATTTTTGCAGTAATATTAGCCGATTTAATAAAATTACTCTGCCTTGCTTAAAAAAAAAAAAAAAAAGCCTCACATAAATAACTTGGGTAAAAAAAGAGGGGAAATAGAGTAAACCAGGGATCTGACCACGTGTCTTGCCCGGTGGCCCCTTGCCATCCATGTTTCAGGGCATAAGCATCACCAACTTTGATTTTTGTGGGGCTTTTTTTAATTTAAGGTTTGTTGTATTTGGCCTTCTTGCCTCAAACACGCAATAGCTGTCTGTGGAGAAGAGGTTATTTCTGTGTTCGTTGCTGACATTAGGACGCAGCATTAATTTTCCGTTAAATGACAGATTTACTGGGGTTTTCTTCATCTACACAATATGACCTGAAAACCTGAGCTAGAATTTGCCAGAAGGGGGCATTTTGCAAACATTGTAAAGGATTTCAGCAGGACCGGAGATGGGCAGGATGAGCTCAACTTGATAATTAAGCAGGCAGCGATGTGTGTCTGAAAACCACAGCCTCTTGGGGAAGAGTTTCCCAGTGCCTGAATGGTGTAATAAAATTATTGTGCACCTGCGTGCTGGAAAATGAATTTTGGGGTGTTGCATGCGGAGGGCTGAGTGCAGGGAGACCAGTTACCTGTCTCACTGCAGCATGCAGGGCACTGAATGGTTGTTAAAATAAGGAATTGTGAAGTAGCATTGGATTATTTTTTTTTTTTTTTCAATGAAGCCACTTAAAAATGCTTTTTCCAACTATGTCCCAGTAAATGGCTTTTTTTTTTTTGCTGTAGGTTGAGCTCTGACAGCTTCACGCTGCTCTAATGTTTTTGCACGTGTTTTATTTTATTTTTTTTTTTAACTGTTGGTCTGTTTGGAAGAGGGCATTGCCCAGCTGGAGCCTGCAGCTCCGTGCCTCCCTTTGTTTGAACGTGTGGCTGAGCTGCCCGTTCCTCATCCTGACCCAAGCCAGACACGGCCGGTAAAGCCAGTCCTTCACTGTGGAAACCCCAAGGAGCTTTGCTGGGGCTCTGGGGGTTGATTTCCTTACGTGGGGTGTGTGTTGGATTTGGGGTCCCAGCCAGCACGCGCTCTCCAGCTGCATCGTCTCTGTCCCCCTCCCAAACCCCGAGGCCCACCTTCACCTCGGGATCGAGGTTTTAATTTCTTTAAACATTTATCTGCTGTAGGTGCTGCTGACTAGTGTGGGAGGCTGGGGGGGGTGGGGGCAGTCCTGCCCTTCGGGGTGCTCGGCCGCAGCCTCGGCTGGTGGGAGCTGCTGCACGGGGCCGCGACACCGCTCATCCCCTCTTCATAGCCGGGGAGAACACGGCAGAGACAAGTGAGGTGAGCTGGTGGAAGAAATGAGGTGAAAACCACTTGTTTCTGCTTTACCGGCCTCCTGTTCAACGTGCCAACGGCTGGGTGTATGGTTTTTCTCCTCAGAAATTGGCCTTTTTGTTGTGTATCAGTGTAGCTCTGGAGCCAAGGCCCCGAGCGCCGGGTCTCTAGCAGCCCGTACCGATGTGCTCTGCAACAATTTGCGCTTTGTAGGCGCTAAATCCAGCGGTAAGGGACTCAATTTGGCCAGCTGTGTTAGTTCCAAGAGGTCTCATTTGAGGTCCTGAAACAGCCCGAATCGTTTGGGATCGCTGCGAAGCCAGGCTCAGGTGCCATCACCTGTTTTCTGAGCTTTTTACTCTTGAAATAAATGCTGAGCTTCCTGGGCTGCTAGGGAAGGGCAGGTGCTGCTGGACATGAAAGACAACGCTTCTATTTTCCATATTTTGCTATGGATACTTGTGGTGGGTTGACTTTGGCTGGACACCAGGTGCCCACCAAAGCCGCTCTATCACTCCCCTCCTCAGCTGGACAGGGCAGAGAAAATATAATTAAAGGCCCGTGGGTGGAGATAGAGACAGGGAGATCACTCAGCAATTACTGTCATGGGCTAAACAGAGTCATCTTGGGGAAACTGGTTTAATTTGGCATCGATCAAATCAGTGCAGGATAATGAGAAATAAAAACTAAATCTTAAAACATCTTCCCCCCACCCCTCCCTTATCCCAGGCTCAACTTCACTCCCCATTTCTCTCCCTCCTCCCCCCGAGCAGCGCAGGGGGCCGGGGAATGGGGGTTGGGGTCAGTTTATCACACGTTGTCTCTGCCTCTCCCTCCTCCTCACACTCTTCCCCAGCTCCAGCGTGGGCTCCCTCCCACGGCAGACCCTCCTCCATGAATTCCACCAACGTGGGTCCTTCCCACGGGCTGCAGTTCTTCCCGAACTGCTCCAGCGTGGGTCCCCCACGGCGTCACAAGTCCTACCAGTGAACGTGCTCCAGCGTGGGCTCTTCACGGGGTCCCAGCCTCCTCTGGGCACCCCCCTGCTCCGGCGTGGGGACCTCTCTGGGTGCAGGTGGGCATCTGCTCCACCCTTAATCTCCGCGGGCTGCAGGCGGATATCTGCTACCCCATGGACCTCCCTGGGTTGCAGGGCACAGCCTGCCTCACCGTGGTCTTCATCACAGGCTGAAGGGGAATCTGCTCCGGCGCCTGGAGCACCTCCTCCCCTCGTTCTTCACCAACTTTGGTGTCTGCAGGGCTGTTTCTCTCACATATTCTCACTCCTCTCTCCTGGCTGCTGTTGC